TGGCTTCTCTGTTTAACTGTCACACAGATCTGATACGAGCCCACGCGCTGCAGAGGAAGGCTTTTGGTTTAAACGGTTTAGGGATATTACCACAAACGGAAAGGAATATGGCAAACGAAATGGAGACTGGCATTCTAGTCCTCAGCTATGTTCTGACTCACGCAGGGTTGTCAGTGTTTCTGCATCTTTTCAGCGTCAGCACGTGAGTCGTTGCTCCTCCAGCAGCTTACTTCCTGAGTGCAAGCGGAAGTCAAGGCAGCCTTCCGCTACAACAGTGGAACACGCAGGGGTAGCAAAAAACCGTGGAAGAGAGAAGCATGGAGTAGGCTGCCAGCAGCTTCTTCTTCGGGCGCAGCTGATTGGAGTGACCACACCTGCAGCGACCGCAGCACACACCGAACATGATTGCAGTTGTGGCTGAATTGGTAGAACAATCGCCATGATCACAGGAAGATCAGAAGAAGCAGCAGCAGCAGCAGCGGCAGCACCACTGGCAGCAGCAGCATAACCATAGCTAGACTGAAGTCATCACTCCAATTGCCAGCATGGTTTTTTGGTTTATAGGTGCTGGCACGCAGAGTACACTTGCAACGGCAGTTAAACCCTTCATCCACCTAGCTAGTGCAAGTGTTCCGCCTGACTTGGAAGTCACACTCTGACCCCACTGGACGAACGCTTCTCGGAACCCAGTTGCCGAAGCAGAAACATGAAGCCTTCTCACCGGCTCACGCTCCATCTGTTTTCCCAAACTCCGCTGCTCTCAGTGACTTCACGCGTTGTGATCTGAAGACTTTGACGCGCTTATCCTAGACAGAAGGCTCCAGCGACGCTTCCAGAGCAAGGCCGAGCCCGAGAGCAGAATGAGCAGGGGAAGGCCTCAAAAAGCCGATCCCAAGCAGACAATGTTAGACAACCAGAAAAGAAGTCAAAACAAAAGCACAAATACTCAAAAAAAGGTGCGAAGGCTGCTCTCCAAATGACAGAAGCGCACTTCTTGGCACATCTCATTGTCCCAGGTGACATATTGGCACTCAGCGTTCTCCGATTGCCAGATCTTGCACTTAAAGCACATGACGCTGCGGACCACTTGCAAGGATCTCTGCTGATCAAGTCTGCCACGATGGCCGTGCGCGCCACGCAAATCAACAGAGATCTCCACACGATCAAAAAGTACCTGAACAAAAGTCTCAAGGTTAAGGATTGAGGGGCATGTGTCTTGAACTTAGGAATTATGCAGCAATGACGTGAGCGCATGAGGAGTATGACGCCAAATGGGTGGACGGGCCATGTTTTGTCCTCTGTTTTACCATGCCTGCAAGCAGCTTGAATTCCGTGGGGTGGATTTGTTTTCTCCGCTCACTTCAATGGTTTTCTGCTCGTTTTTCATTTTGGTCTTGGTTGCGGAGCTTTTGGTTTGAGGTGTGGGTTTTAGGGTTTGGGGTTTAGGGCTGTGCACGGTTTAGGTTTCAGGTGTTTTTAAAGGTGTTGGCATGGCTTAGGGTTTAGCGTTTGGGCTGTTTTTGGGTTCAGGGTCCAAGGTTTTTTGGGGGTTCAGGTGGTAGGTTGGGTTTATGGCTTGGTGTGTATTGAAGGTTTAGGCTTTTGGCTGGTTGAGGGTTTAGAGCTCCTTGCTGTTAAGGGCTTCCTATAGACTGTTGGATGTCCAGGGCGTAGGTAGGGTTTAGGCTTGCTCAAGGTCTAGGGGCTGGCTTGCTTTCGGGGTTTAGGGTTTAGTTTAGTCTTTCGTGGTTTAAGCTTCATGTTTTTGAGATGTTGGGATGTTTGGTTTCTAGGGTTAGGCCTTTGGGTCTTTATACGTTTTAGAAATGGACCAAGGGACTTGACCACAGGACCGCGCGACCAGGGGACCGAAGGGCGTCACCAGAGGACCACAGGACAAGGAGACCAGATCACCGACAGCCGCGAGCCCAGCCAGGAAATCCAGCAACCAAAAAAGGGAAGCACCAACAAAGAAAAAGAAGCAACAAAATGCGTTCCTGAAAATTTCATTTGCCTGGTCTGATGAAAACCTAGTAGCTCGCATGTCACATGTGAAGCAGACTTGCCCAGCCTCGAACTCTTTCGGGTATCTTATCCTGAAGACTTCCTGGACCACGCTGCTCGGACGGCCTTCCTTCCACCGGGGCCAGTGTCCCCCGCCCGGGAAATGGATGATGCCCGGCTCGGCCCCAGATGTGAGGACCAGCGTGCCATTGGACAGCTGGCCTGAACACCCCCGAATCGAGTCTGTGGAGACTCCCTAGCTCTCTCTATCGAAGCAGCGACAAGCGGATAGAGAAACGCTCAAAGTGCAGGGTGGCGGCTTCATTTGCAAATAGGAATTGAAACCTGGGGGTAGGGATCGCTCCTAAAAAGGCTGCTGATGTCTATGCTTTGGGTCCTTGGGCTGCTCTAGATGCTCCATGTCTCACGTTGCAGGCGTTTTGAACGAGTCTCATCTTGAAGAGGAGGAAAAACAATACTGCGGAGGAATCACTGCAAAAGTTTTTGCAGCTTGGGCTCGTACTCCTTCGGAGGCTAAATCGCGAGCGACTGTGCAAAGAAGCTCGCAGTTCGTGTCGACAGCAATTGCCTCGGGGTTGTCTCGTCTCTGTCGATGGTAAAAAGCTTGGTCACTACCAGGCATGATATCCGTCACCTTAGTCCAAACATCCGATGGCTACGGTCAACGGGCAACGGGCATTAACTTAGCATTTTTGGGGCCAACCGTTTCATCACAAAACTTCTGCTCCTGGTCATCGCGAAGCACCGGATCTCTTAGCAGATGCCTCAGGGCCGATGCCCTTCCAATGAAGGCCCCAGAGTTCAAATACTCACGCGGATGTTGCCAGATGTCTGCAGGAGGGGGATCGGTGCAGATGTCTTCCATTCGGGGAAAGCAATCGCGATCGCCGTTGAAGATCAGGCTGCGGTTCAACGTCTTCTCCATCCTTTCAAAAGTCTCCTGAGCTGCCACGACTTACACACAGGTGCACAAAGCATTTCCAGCTCTTATATCACCGACTCGAATGACTAAAACACTTCCGCCGTAATCCTATTCTGCCGGCTCGGTGCAGCACTCGATCCAGCTTAGCTTCTCTTATCTCCGCCTGCGTCCTCATGATCAGAACATCATAAGCGTCCGCGAAGACCACAATGTCGTTAGGCTGCAGCGTGGACTGCAAAACATATCGCCTCAAGGACTCAAGATGCTCTGCGATTCAGCCAGGTTGGACCCAAGAGAATACTGAACAGCACCAATCAGTCCAACAAATCCCTCAACAGAAAGGATCCATTCGCGCTTTGATCACAAATCGTTAGGTTTCGCACAAGCCCAAAAGTTCCGAACAACCATGATCGGCATCGCCTCAAGGCATTGATCTTCCTCCCGAGGCCTTCTGGCCACCAAGCCTTTTCTCCGAAGCCCAAGACCACTGGCGCCCAGCCGTTCGCCGTGGCGCTGGCGAGCAGGTAGCCCATGGTATGCGTTGCCTCGTTGGTGTAGGTCACCAGAACCACGCTCGGCACAGCCATTGAGGTGGAATAAGCGTCTCTCTAGGTGACTGGGATAGGAGAGCGGGCGTGGTTGTGGCTTGTCAAGCGCTGACTTGCACAACAGTCGATGCTTGCTCGCACGTTGGGTATCCGTTCGTTTAGCCATGGCATTGGCAACACCGACCTGACAACTAGATTATTTGCTACTGTAGCAAGCTTGTTGAGTGGTGGTGGCGGTGATTTCGCCATGCCTGACGTGTTCTCGCTGTTAATCCCCATGAAGCTTGCCCCTCTGGATGACTGCGGATGTTTCTGAGACCCAGACTTCTTCTTGCGGCAGTTCACGGCCCTTGCAGGATGGGATGCTAGATGCATCGTGAATTTGGTAACATGAAGAGCTTCTCAAAATTGCGATCCCAATCGACAGTCGGTGTATGTGGTGGGCAGGGAAGGGGACCATGACTTTGAGGAATACCATATGAGCTATAGTCTAAACTCCTTGTATCTCCCTTGATACCTCTTAAAATACTCCCCTACATAATCCACTATACTACCCCCTTCAAGGAGTTAAGACCCTAAAACCTTAAACCCTAAAACCCCTAGACACTATGTACCCCCTATACATTATATCACCCCCTTAAACGGTTTAGACTATAGCTCATACTGGCTGGTTGTGAGACCTGCTCCCGCCTTGCATGCAGGCGCGCATAGCATTTCCGGCAGATCTGCAAGCGACATGAACTGGGGGTTATATAGGGGTGTATACGAGGCAGGGAGTCACCTGCAAGGGGATGTAGGGGTTATATAGCTGAATACAGGGCATATAGGGTTTTAACTGTGACATGCGGCAGAGCGCATCTTCCAAACTGAATGGTGGCAAACAGCACTGCCCGCCATCTTCTCACAGTTGAACTTTCGCGCGAGGACGGCGAGGGAAGGCTCAATGACCTGATTTCAGCTTCATAGGCAACGGTCGAGGACACTTTGCAGCTGGGCTCCCTGCACCGCCACGGAGGCGCAGCACCAGGTGGAGTGTAGACTCCTGCAGTGAACCCAGCAGTCTAGCACCCCGGGCAAAGTTGCGGAAGAGTTGCCTTCTGGATGTTGTAGTCACTCAGCGTACGGCCATCCTGTGAAGAACCAAGTCAAGCAGTTTTAATAGTATTCCCATTTCAATGTAACCCCTATGTAACCCCCAGCTAGTATACTATAGTAGTTTCCATTTTCTTTTCCACTATCCCCATATAACCCCAATATACTATGGCCCAATGCAACCCTAATATACCATCGTAGATTCCATCTTCTTTTCCATCATCCCAATATAACTGAAAGATGCTTCAACAAACCTGGCCTCCAGCTGCTTGCCTGCGAAGATCAAGCGCTGCTGGTCGGGCGGAATACCTTCCTGGTCCGGATGCAGCTCACTTCATGGTAATATATAATCTATCAGGGTTATATAGGGATAATGGAAAAGAAAATTGAAACTACTACAGTATAATAGGGTATATATTAGGGTTATATTGGGGCTTATACAGGCCACTCTAGTATTGTAGTATTATGATGAAGATTGGTAGAACTGTTTACACCCTAAACCCTAAACTGCCTGTCTTGCTGCTACATAGGCAAACACTCAGAGCTGGGGCCTTGTCCTGGATCTTGGCCTCACACAGGTCATACTTGTCAGGATATACAGGTATATGTGTAGATATATAGGAGCCATAGTCTAAACTCCTAGTATCCCCCTTAATATCCCCTATAGTAGTCCCCTATATAATCCCCTACATAGCCCCCCTTCAAGGAGTTTAGACTACGGCTCATATATATATATAGATATATATGCATTTCTTCTTGAACATATGCATGTAACATAACTATGAACCTATCCATCTACCCAACCATCATTAGTACATGTATGCATATGCATATGTATATGTATATGTCTGTATCCGATATTTATGGCCATAACCGACGTCGGCCTTCACATTGTCGATCGTGTCGGATGCCTGGATTTTTGTGATCTACTTTGAAACATCTGCCTGGTTTGTGACCTCTGAATTGAAAAACAGACGCCCCCTACCTGAACAGGCTGAGGTATAGGGGGCGGCATACGGGTTTCGGGTTTGGGGCTTTAGGATCACCATAAGCCAGTACAAGCGCCACCACCTTCTAGCACGATCACGGTCAGCCAATCTTGAAGAACGCCCTTCATGTTACGTTCAGAAACCAAGAGCCGAGTACCGGCCTCCACATCCAGGGTGATGGTCTTGCCCGTGAGCGTCTTGACCTGAGTCACGAGGCAACAGATCGAGAGAGATGGATCCTTTCAACACAGCTCGCTCTTGTGGTCGCAGAACCAGAGTTGGAACTCTTTCAGTGATAAGAAAACTTGAGAATGTCAAAATTGAGGAGTACTCCTTCTAGCAGCTCACCCCTGTTGGGTTGCGCGAAACATGAGCAGGTGATTGGAAGGTATACGCCCCAAACGTTTTGCGCCCATGCACAAGGACCTACCCTTGCAGCGGCTACAAGGGAAGCTATCAAAGTTGTCAACGACCCTTCGTTTCGCTCGAATACTTATTGCAGCATATAAAAGCTGCGCCCCATGCAGGGACGCATGACTTTTGAAACGCACTAACTGTATTCGTTTTGGTTGCAATGTATGCCTGGTCATGACCGAACACATATTACACAGCAGTTTATGCAACGATCACCGGAAAGTGGAGCTGCAGAGTAGTATTAGGGTTATATAGGGGATATTTTGGGATAATTAAAAAGAAGATGGAAATTACAGGGATTATAGGGGTTATATAAGGATTCTACACAACCGTATTATGATGGGCCGTCAGACCTCATCAACAATGTTGACATGATTATGACTACGAGTTCTACTATGCAATGTTGTTTGGAGATCCCTTCTTCAGCTCAAGCCCAGTCCAAACCTTACACGAACCCATCCACAACTCGCCAACCCCATACCTCCTTTCAGGGGTTCTATGCAGGGCAGCCAATATAGGTCGGGAGAACCCACCGATGCTTTGCGGCACATTGAACCAAGACATCACACGTAGAATGAATGTTACAAGCGATGCTGCCAGCAAAGCCATGTGCTTTGCGCTTTTCCTCCACAACATCTGAAAGGAGTGCAGGGCATGTTGCGCGAGAAAACAACGTTCCTAATTTTACCGCGACAACCTTAGGCGACGCAGCAGTGCAAAGGAAGTTTAGGCAGCAATTTAGCGCGCAGATGTTATTCATCAGTGCCCAAAGTTCTTGCCGTATCGCAGCATCAACTGTTCGGCAGGCAGCAACTGTTTGTCTGCGTGAAACTTAGCCTCGACTGGTAACCTTCTGACCTTGAGTCAGACCTAGTTGGAAACCTAAATGGCCAGTGCACGTCTCCTTGCCTTCAAAACAGGAAACAGGCTGCCAACGCTACGGACAGATTACAAGCGAAGTGCATAACCACTGCAGGAAGCCGTGCGAGGCCCATGAGTTTTGAAGGTTGTAGCAGCCCAAAATTCTAGCACCACAAGCCTCATGGCCGCCAGGTTGAAAGCCTGAAGCAACCATCTACAGATCATACGTCAGCTTAACTCTGAAGCAGTGAAACTCTTGAGCCCTGCAGCACGCGCAAATGCCACATTGGCCGCACAAGCAGACCCCAAGCCTTATATTTCCTACACGCGACACCCTCAACCTCAAACAGTCCTGAGCCGAAACCTCCCCAAAAAGCCAACAGTAGTTCTGCAGTCCGGGCACTACATGCTACGGCCTTGCCTCGGATCGACACCCTCACAAACATGGTCAGTTCCTCTAAAGACGACTCAGCACGTAGAGCCTTTCACACTATGCAACACAACAAAACCCTGGTCGTCATACTGAATACGTACTGTACCATGTTGAGGGGGGGTGTGTTGTGGAAAGGCCCCTTTGTCTGAGAACCTCGTCTGTCCCAGTTTCTACTCGCCTGTGCCCAGAAGCTGGGACTCCGCACGAAGATCTGCATGGTGACAGTTCTTCTATGAGCCAAAGATGATCTGTGGAACGAAAACACACGAAATGTGCGACAAGCGTACGCAAATCTATGTTCATATGTGTGTGTGTATGGACATGTAGGAGGTTGATATGTATCTGTCCACATATGTACACTGTATACACACCTGAGAAAAAATTGAGATAGTTTCTAGGGGTCAGGTCAGACTGGGCATCTACACCAGCTCCATCTCATGAAACCAGAAAGGCAAAGCAACAAGAAGAGCCATATTATAGATACATGTACAACCGCATGATCTAGACAACGAGGAAGCGAACGTCGAAGATGGAGAAGATTGGTGCAGACCTAGATCCCCAAAAACTTGGAGTTGGAGTTGCTCGCATTCAACTATCCAGTTCCTCCCAGCCTAAGAGGTCCTCCTTGGTTCCTTAGGAATCTGCCCGACTTCAGGTGCAATAGTGCTGTGCCCTTAAGGGGCTGAGAGCTTGTTGGGTCCTGAAACAGCTTCGTTGTTTTATCCCTTTGGGGTCCAGCACTGCTGAAAAGGGTTGGACGCTTTTTGCTCGAGCACCTTAGGCCTTTTGCCGTCGGGTAGATCGAAACTCAGCACCAGCACAGCTACAGATTGAATTTCACGGCCAGCCCGGTGGCCCTTGGAAGGCTACCTATCCAAGAAAGCAACAAATCCTACAGATGACACTAACAGTAATCGAACTTCAGCAGCTACCACAGTAGAGGCCAGAAACTTGGAACGTCAGTAGCCTAGGTGAAGGCATCCCATTTCCATGTTCCAGCCTTTTGGCCTTTACTGTACTCTATGCTGCTGCCAGGAAAGTGCAGCATCCTCGGCTTCGGGCCAAACATTATGTGAGTTGCAATCGGGTGAGACGAACAGGCATCTGTCTTTGAAGTGACAGTTTCCAAACATCGGGTGCAACATCTTCACCTTCAGCATGAATGCAGTCTGAGTGACATATCCTAGACCTACAGCCGAAATCCGGCACCCTAAGCAAGCAAACCTCAAATCCTAACCCCCCATCCCATG